CTAAGTCTTCATGAGGATTTAACTGATGTTACACCGAATTTGTCATGTCGAATGCCTCTTCCAACCGTAGGATTAATGACACCCGGATAACCAACTTCCAAAATTTCTTTAAGAACACCATAGTATTCTAAACCACCCGCTCTTGAAACTATCCCGCAATTGACTGTTGTCTTCTTGTTACCTTCTCGGTAAATTTGAAAAGAATATCTTCGGTACAATACATCGGAGAACACGAAGCAAGTGAAACTGTCCCTCCGTGGTTTTAATTGGTCAATACTTGGTCGACATATTGACCACATTTCAACCATTTCTATTTTTAAAATATTTTGGTCAAAAATTTGTCAAAAATTTTTTTGACCATTATACTGATAAAAACACTGTCAATAATTAACTTTTTTTCTTGACCAATTATCAATCAATCTTTTCGTCACAAATTTCCAACTATTTTTTGACAAATTTATAAATCCGTCAAAAATTGGTCAAAATTTTTTGACCAAATTTCGACTAATATATTGCGTCATAATTTTTTGACCAATTTACAACGAAAACAAACATCATGTAAAATTGGTCAAAAAAAGGTCATAATAGTTTTTGACCACAAAAAAGGTAAAAGATCGACATGTTTTCTTGTAGTGAGGAGTTCAGATTATTGAAGTTTGCATGCCTACAAGATCACACAATGGAGTTTTGATCAGCTTGCAAGAGCTCTGTAAGCATCTTCGTCAGAGAAGAAAAAAAGACTGTGAAGCTGTGACCGAAGATGATTGTCTTCGAGCAATAAGCTAGCTTAAGGTATATGAGTGGTGTTTACTTTCTTTCTTTCAGATTTTCGATCAAAAGGAAAATTTTGAATTGTTCTTGCTGGTATCTTTTCATCAAGTATTGGGTAGCGGTTTTGAGGTTATCACAATTGGTAAGAAAAAGCTTGTCCGTTCAGTCCCCACTGAGCTGAACAGAGACCATAACCAAATTTTGGAGTTGGCTCAGGTTATAATAACACACACACACACTCTTCCACAGAAGAAAACAACTATCAGTTGTTTTACATTATCTTACAAGGTTCTAACTGAAGTGACTCGAGGATGTCTGTTGCTTTCCCCACAGGGTCAAGGCTTTGTAACTGTGGGAGAGGTACAAAGACGGCTCTCATGGACATCTGGTCGGGTCATAGATGCTCTCGAAACTTTGTTGGAAGTATGCATTTCTTGCTATTTAGTTCCCCAATTTGATATATCATTATTGTAATGGAGGATGCAATGCAACCAATGTGATTCCTGAAACTTTGCGATTTAAATCTTATTTTCAGGAGGGCCTCGCAATGATCGACAATGGCGATAAAGAAGAAACATGTCAGAGCTGGTTCCCTGTGTTTCTTCTGGTTACTCATCCGTTGGATCTGATACTTAAATTGGTGCATGCTCTTTTTTGTTTGTTTTGTTTTGGACTCAATACACTTACTCTTCATCACATATAACTTATAAAAAAAATCTTATTAGTATCTTATATAATATTTTAAAGTTCTTCAAAACCAAAACTATGAGAAGCTGCCATGTGACACCCATTCTCTTGACATTTGGCATTTGAATTTATCTATTAAGAAAATAAAAATGTTGTGTTAAT